TGCGGATCCATGTAGTAATATAATATTGTGGTGCAGTTAGAAATAATGCGTGAAAGTATGTACTGTTGTAGCACCACTATTTCTATTTTGGACAACAATAATTAAATATTCCGCCATTCTTAACCATATAAATATACTCCGCCATTCTTAACGTAAAAACCGTGACTTTGCTTTTAACGTTTACTTTACTTTTTGAATAACAGCACCTACGAAGGGGACGGAAGTCACCAAAACACGACAAACTTCTGTATTTTATGCATTTAATGAACTTATTTTCTGTATGTATCAAATTTTAAATTTGAATAATATTATGAAGTAAATGACAGGACGGAATTTTGACAATATTTAAATATGTCCAAAATTTAACTAGTGGAGCTACACAATGGCACAGACTTTCCCGTATTAATTTTCTATTTCTTTTGGTCTCGGCTAGCTATTCGAAATTGCCACATACTCTTGCCTGTTACCATTTATCGCCGTCCAAATTAAATCTTATTCAATTTTCTTAATTTTGCAGTTTACTAATAATAGAACGGAAATACTATTTTAAGAATATTAAAGAACAGTAAAACCGCTAGCTAACTGGCAATTATCTTTAAAAATTTGGAGCAGTTTTTAAGAAAATGGCGCTTAAATGCTATTAAAGAGTGCTATTAGACAATCCGTTCAAAAAGATAGGAGAAAAAATGGGAGCCGTTTTTGAGAAACTGGCGTTTGAGAGTTTCTGAAATTGCGAAATTTTGAGCTAGTTTTGACAGGAAACGGTTGAGTTTTCGAGAAGCTTTATGTAACATTATTCAAAGCACATGTACTCATAAATATAATTGAGTTTTATTGCATGTAGTTCACCCTGAATTTGAATGGTAGAAAATATCAAAAATATTTTTAAAACTAAAATTTGTTTTTCTCAGAACTCAGGAATCTTTTTAACTCTGTATGACTGACATACCGTAGTAAACTACAATAAAGATGAGAACTATTTAAAATAAAGCATGTTATATACTTACGGTTTATCGGAGTAGATGACCTTATCACCATCAATAATCACTCCTGGGGTGCATTGTAGGTACCTATAGAATTTAACTGTTGTATTCTGAGAAAAATTGCCACGAGAATAATAATAACGAGCAATGACTATTCTCTTCAATTTTTCTATTGACATCCATTTTCCTGGGTTGGATTTCAATACATACACAATATCTTCTCGCCAAGGGAACTTTTTTCTCTCCACATATTCTAAAATTAGAGAAAGATGTTAGTTAGAAACTCTTATGAAATAAAATCAATGAATCCCAAAACAACCAATTAAATAATACAATTGCATTATATTCTCAACCACTACAGCTCACAATTAATGCAGATTTCCATGACCTGACATAAAAATCTCGTATATCTTTCAAAATAAATTTGTCAAAAAAGTTGTGACAAAGAAAATTAAAGCTAGAAACATACTTCACAAAATTAAATGTGTTATGATTGAGGTTAAACATTTTACAATTGAGGTTCTAATTCTATAACATTCATCATTTTCTGATAAATTCAGGTCAAACATTATCCAATTGAGCTAAAATTTGACAATCTTATTTTCACACACTTATTGGAAAGTAACATGCGTTTTGCAAGAAATAGAAATAAAACATTCACTTCAACAGAAATAAGCATTCTACATCCACCCCAAGGAAATAGATGATAGAAAAAATTCTCAGTAAAAAAGACGCAAACTTGGAAACGCCGCTAACTCCCACTTTCTCTGCAAAACGAAAGAATGCCATGTACGCATTTCACTAGGGATTCACAAGAATTTGAAGTATATTCTATTAAATAACAATACAGTTAAAGAATCAGAGGCCATGAACAGCCAATACGGCCAATACAGAAAGAAAATCTGGGGGCAGAAGAGAATGTTCTTAGTTGACATCAGACAAGACTTTGAAAGCAAATTCAACACACAATACTTTAAGAGGGACCCCAAAATTCCAAGAATGAAGCCATATGTGAAGAGGAGCACAAAGAAACTATGATACATATAAAAATAATAAAAACCATTAGTCATGTGAAGAATTTAAGGAACAAGAAAGTAGTGGTAGCTCAGGAAATCAGTTTTAAATTCTCATCATCAAGACAATTATCAATTTTACTTCAACTAAATAGTAAGAATTGGTTTAAAATTCTCATGAGGCCTCTCCTAAAAATTAGGGGGTCATCATTTATTGAGTCTACAGATACTTGGGGAAATAGGGTATTTTGTCACTGATTGACTTCCAAAGAGAAAATAACTTGCAATTAAATCTCTTAATTACCTTCTGAGATTTTTAGTTTACACAAATACAATCACAATTTTACTTGTTCATAATTATTTTGATTGTGTATTATCATTTATATCTCCTTTCCTCCACAGCAAAGCCAAAAGGCAACATTTCTTTCAATAGAGAAATTTAATAGTTCCTTAACATGTTTTATGCAGAAACTTAGCCTGACTCGGAGAAAACTATTGACTTGGACTTGGAGATACTGTCATCCTAATCATTTAATCACCAGTTACACTGCACATCAAGGAGCTCCTCCTCGAATATCTACAGTGCCTGACGACTATGATGAAAAACAAAAATTATGATGGTATTGAAGACCAATTTCAGTTAGTTACAAATTATTCCAAAAAATGGGAATGCTCAAAGAAAAACGTTTGCAAACCTTGCATTTATACTTCAAATTCTTTATACTAAACTTAAAAATTTAGCACCAATATGCCACGAGTTACTACTCTAATTTTCTGTACGTCTCTTACAACTATTTCATTATATATTTTATTACTAAATTGTCTATATTTAATTGCTACAATTGTTATATTATAATTACTTTTTCATGTGAAAAGTGTGCCTAGTACTTGCAGCACTAATTTAGTTAGTAATATTAAGAGAAGATGTTTGTGGCAACATTATGATAACTCATCCCACTGGCTCATAAAATATGACTTCCCAACCCTTTCAATTTCAATAATAAACTGATGTAACAAATTCTTACCAGTAATATCGGCATCCAAATCTATCACTATTGAGGGCTGCTCGCTGCTATTTTTTGCTTGTTTGGCAGGGTTTCTTTTCTTTGCAGGGAACTTGGTTCTTTTTCGTGACACATTCACTTCAACAAATGCCGAAGCATGTAGTTTCTCACTTGAAGCAATTCTACTTGTGCTCTTGCTATTAGTCTTCTTCCGACTTTGTTTAGGATCAAATGATTTATTACCCCTTCCCTTACGTCCATTAGCTAATGTGGCACCCTGATTGTCAAGATTTCTACTACTTTCCTCACTCTCAGATGCGGAGCATTTGAAAGACTGTACTAAATTATGTAGCAGAGATTTCATGTGCTTTATTTCAGACCTCAGCATTTTATATTTTCCTCTCCTTTCCTTTTTGGCCTTCTGTTGCTTTCCTTTATTAACTGATTTCTCACAATTTACATTAACATTACTTTCTACTGAACCTGCCTTAATGCACATCGATTTTCGTTTTGTATAACTATTCTGTTCTTGAGAAAGTGAGGTTTTACTACTTTCATGACTTCCATGGACAGGACACAGTCTTCCCATGTTCTTCTCAACACCATTTTCTGAAGAGTCCAAAATTTCCACACTTTCATCACTATCCGATTTATTTCCATCATTAAAAGGAACCATTTCAGAGCTACAATTGCTATTGTTTATAGCAGTTCTTTCACTGGGCACTATTTCAATAATTTCACAATCACTAGAATCCTGTTCATCCATTTTCTCTCTTTCAAACATGACATTAGTTTCAATACTTTCCCCTGCACACGACTGCTTCAGTTCTTCAAGAGTTTTAACAGAACATGAGATTTTATTGTTCTTCCCCCTTTTGGAAACTGGGTCAAAAGAGTGCAAAGTAATACTCTGATTATTAACAAAATGATGAGTTTCCATGTAAGTTGTACCTACACTTTTGTTAACCCCACTTTCAGAGCCCGACTTTTTTGTTTTTAAGACCTGGTCACCAGAACGAGACCCGTGACTTTGTTTTGGCACTTTTCCTGAGCTAAAATTTGATGCTTCTGGAAGAGAATCACTTGATGAATTATTACGGGTAAGTCCTTGCAATTCAGAATCTCTTTCTGGAATTGGCATGTAACCAGGATATATTTGTTTCCATGCTTCCTGAATAACAACATCAGAGATTGAGTCTCCCGCAAGACTCTTAACAAAAACCTAAAAATAAAATTACACCAAGAATAACATTTTCATTAATAAATAGAAGTAAACAAAAAAACATCTGATGTGAACAAATCAATAATAATTATATTAATAATAATAATAATAATAAAATAAAAAAAGCATAGTCTAAGTATATAATTCTTTGTGAAAGGGATTCTGTCATTGTCTAGGACAACAAAGGCTTGGCATCATTACAATTCAATATAATTTTTGAAAACCAACAATAGAAATACGATATCAAGGTCATCCAAAACTTGTGTCCACCAAAATCCTGAAATATATTACTCCCCTCTCTGATGATACTTTTTGTTTACAATGAATGGACAATGTGTGTGAAAATTAATAAAGACTGTAAAGCAAATGCAAATTCTTCATTTTATAGAACATATTACTCAAGGGCAGCAATTGTGGCACAACTCAAAAAATGTGAATTTTGGATTAATACTCTCCCCACAATTGCAGATTGGTCAACCTTCCATCAGCATAGTTTACAGAACAATATTCCATCAACAAATAGCAGACATGTGAAAGCAAGAATGATGCATTTAATTACAAGGTGAAAATTTCGAACTCATTTATCTTCGCATATCATTACGAATTGTTCCAATATTGCAGTCCACATAGTATTTATTGAATTTAATACAATTTTTATACCAAATTAATTTGAAATCACATTTTATAAATTATTCCACATTCACACAATTTTTGGTGCTAGAATAATTTGGTTCAATATTTATTATTTTCAGTTAATTATGATTCATTTAGATCATACCTGAAAATCTGAAAGACTTCTGGGAACTATGTTGCAGCCACGTAATTTACTAAGCATTCCATCGTTAAATAGCACAGTCGAATCTTCATGTAAATTGTTTTTCATATCTTGTTCCATATTCCAATGTTTTGTGTACCTCTTAACATTTACATTAACGCAAAACAATATTTTTAGGATAAATAATTGGAATAATTAAAATTTGCAACACTCAACCACATCTGATTTACTGCCACTTTCATTTAATAATACAACTCACAAATTCTTAATCATCAATATGTATAACATATTTTTACTCGTTTCCCCGCCGGTAGCTGAATAAGGTTAAGATCGGTTATGATGGGTTAAGGGCAATGCATCCGGAGGGACCCACAACAGTTAATTGAACCGGTAGTACGTTTACTTTTCAGATTGATTCCCCCGAATCATTGAATCGTTCACCAGGTGAGGCGGTATCTGCGCCGTGATTGGTGGAATGCAGCTATCTAGGCGGCTCTTTCAAAATCTCGAGAAGATGGACATTAATGAATAAAGTAATTAACATTTTATAAATATAATTTTTAGTACATCTCGAAAGAAACGAACATAATATGCATTTATTAATCATTAAATCATCAATAATATCATATTTTAAGTCAAACTTCCCAATTAATCCGAAATTCCCCTCAAATGAATAAATGCATGGAAGAAGTATAATTATTCATGGAATATTTATGAAGTGAGTTGTTACTTTTACATAACTGCATTAAATTGTGGTTTATAAATATTAATTGTATATTAAATAATAGAACCATAGTTTGTAGGTGAATTCTTCAATATACAACACTTTAGGAAGTTGCATATCATACTACGAAATTCATAGAGGCCTGAGGTTCGCTCTCATGATTCGTGAGCCACGAAGTCGATTCACTGTACACTAGTGCCACCACTGAGTAAACGTAATATCGGTAGTAATAACTTCATGAACGATAGACCGATTCACTCGGTGTAACCGGTGCAACTGTATCAATCATCGATTGGAAACTCGGGAAAATGCGGTGGCAATGTACAATGAAAAAGAACTCTCAGGCAGTATTTTCATTAGACAAATCCAAAGTATAAAATAAATGCTTTATTTTAATGACTAAATACTTACAAAAATATTGACACATTAACGCAGTAAATTTGAGTACGGGAGAAGGGCGAACTACAAAGGTCAAACGATTGGTAATCGTTGTTCAAACTGCTTCCAATGGATGAAAAGGTGGGAAAGAACCGTTGATTCATCCAATCGGTGCCAACGCTCCAGAATTAGCACTGCAGCCATTGGCCCCGGTGGCAGCGCTAACGGTACGCCGTCGAACTACAGGAAAAAGCGTGACGACGCGCCGTGGCCACGGTGTAAGAAACCCATGGTATAAATAAAGAATGGTATGAATGAAAGTAAGCAATTACTCTTTGCTCCGAGTTTTGGAAATCCTTCTCAATATCTTATGAATAAAGTGAGTGAACTGAGCAATTGATCAGTCTCTGAGCACTTGCTCCGTTTCTGAGCATACTCTCAACTGGCGAGCTAATGCTCAGTATCGGTATTATTCGCGCACGTTTTCTTGGGCCCTCGCTTCGCTATATGCGAGAGGGGTGGGGAGTTAAGTTATTTTGACAAAGGGAATTTTATGTCAAATTTATAGTTCATTTTTCCATGCAAAATGATTTCTAATACACAGGAGTGAACATTTCTCGTTACCAGATTTAGATTACAATGCTCGTTGAAGACATTTATTCTTAATCCACTAATGTTGAGAAAAGAGTGGATATGGAGCTCAAAAAAACGTGCGGATGTAATATGAATAAGTTAAGCGTTTTCTCTCTAGACTGAGCACTTGCTCCAAAATTTCGGAGGGATTAATAGCAGACTCACGTTTGAAAACGGTTAAATTGGCCGAGTTTTTACCGTGCGCTAATAAGCAGATGCAGCGGACTATAAAAAATTACAAGATAAATCGAGATTCTCGTGATGTAGACTATAAGAATCATTACCGATACGAAAAGGACAATGTTATATGGTTGGTGCGATTTTTATCGGCGTTTGCTTTCAGGAGCGTTTTCATATTGCATATCTTCTATGTTAATTGTCCATCGTTGATTTCTACTCGGAATTTTTCGGGGTACTATCTTTTCAAATTTTGAAATGCTTCGTTTCGACCCAGCGTACCTCCGGAAGCTGGCTCTTTTCAAAAATTATTTTATATTCGCTTAGCATTTCAGCAAAAACTAGCTGGGCCTCTGGCACTTTCTGTTTTTCGTTACTGCTATTCGTATCCGAATTTAAAAAACGAGACAACAAAACATTGCTCTTTGCTCCGCACAAATGTGCGCGACGAGCGTAACGTATGTAACTTCTTTGTTACTCACAAAACCAAGTTTCAAAACGCCCTGCATTGTCACGCAGCAAATGCTCGCGAGACACCAGCAAATTCTTCGGAGACATACGAAGTTTTTATTCATAAGAAATGGAGTGGACGAACTATTTACGGACTACTAGCTAAAAAAATCATGGGACAGTTTATAACGTTTTTGACACAAAAAATATAATTTATTTTTCTCAAAACTTTAATTTTATTTTAATGCATGCTTTCTTCTAAAAAAGAGAAAATTAAATATTTTACAGAAAAATAATACTTGGATCACACAAGGTATAAGAACATTGTGTAAAAACAAACGTACGCTTTACTTTATTTCTAAACATCATAACGTATCACCCGGTTTCCATGTCTACTTCCGAGAATACAAAATAATCTTAAAAAAAGTAATAGTTCAGGCAAAAATAATGAAAAATAATCATGATATTTTAAACGCTAGTAACATAACTAAAGCAATGTGGAATATCGTAAAAAATACGACCACATAATCCCATTACTTAGTGAAGAAAGTTTTTTTAAAGGATAATGAAGGAAAAGACAGTACTCCGAAAAAAATGTGTCAAATCTCTTCAACCAATACTTTTCCAGAATTGCGACTAAATTCACGAAGGGAAAACCGTCAAATTCTGCTTGGGACAATATACATCTCTTTTCAGCTTATCTGCAATAAGTAAACAAGTAAAGAAAACAGTTTAACAACAAAAAGTACATGAAAAATGTAGAAAAGTAGTGAAAATTCAGTCAAATATTATAGCACAGCCAGAGCATATAAGTCACGCAAGCAAGTTACCAAGCAAGCACATTGTGTGCTATAAGTGTGGTGATGTAGGTCATATAAAATCAAAGTGCTTTATGAAGAAATATTTAGAGACTTGTCCAAAGGATAATCACAATGATGATGAGAGTTTCCAAAACAAAAATCAACACAACAAGCAGTTCCTACCTTGTAGTTACGGCAAAAAATCAACCAATCACTCCTATGAAAACTGTTATTTTAAATAGCAACATGAAGGAAAGAAAAGAGTAGCATTTTTTGTATAAACGGATAAATGTGCTTACCAATCTAATGACAAAGAAGAAAAATCATCATACTTGAGTGAAGTGTTGTTTGGTGAAAAACTAAAATATAATACTTTTGTTGTGGACAGTGGTTGTACATCACACATGGCAAACAGACCAAAATAATTAACCAACACAAAATGCTCCAGTGGATATTGGTGACATTTTGACTAAAATTATGTGGTAATATTGAAACAGATAAGGTGATACTCAAGAATGTGTCCTATGATCCTGAGCTCACAAGTAACTTGTTAATAGATGCTATTTCAGAAAATGATGGGAAAGTACGATTCAAAAATACTAAAATGTTGATATTAAAAGATAACAATATTGTTCTGCATGGACATAAAACTGATAGTGAACAATTTGTTGTTGATGTGAGCCGTCAACATGAAGAAGAATCCTTATTCACTCAACATAATGAGGAATATATGAAATGGCATCGAAGATTAGATCTTATTAGTTTTGTGAATCTGAAGAAATTGCCAACTTTGGTACAGGTATACCACATGATAACGTGAAGAGGAAAACCAATACTGTGTGTAAAACCTGCATAGTTTCCAAACTTACAAGAAATTCATTTGTAAAATTGACAGAGAGCTCAGAGATGATTGGAAATAATACATACTGCTCTGTGTGGTAAAATCAACCCACCTACATTTGACAAGAAGAATTACTTCATGGTGTTTGTGGATAATTACACACATTTTGTTAAAGCGTACCTTCTTGAAACTAAGGATGAAGCAGAAAAGTTCCTAAGGGATTCCTTGAGTTAGAACATTTTTACAACCTAAAAGTGCAAATATAAGAATGGAAAATGGTGGTGAATTCCGTTCAAATTATTTCAAGGAGTGGTGTAAGCTGCAAGATATCCAATTGGATTACTTTATTCCTCATATCCACAGTTAAATGGTACGGCAGAGAGAATGAACTACATGTTGGCAAATAAAATGAGAGCTTCACTTGAAGATTATAATTTTCCTGGTGAAATGTAGGGTACTTCAATACAGACTGCTGCTTATTTCCAAAACAGATGTCCTACAGTACCTGTAGATACTACACCTGTTGAGATATATGGTATAAGGGTGACATAAGAGTGGTATAAGAAGGAACCTGATTTGTCCCACCTTAAAATGTATGGTTCAACGGTCTATACCAAGACTTAAGGTCCTCTCAAGAAACTGGATCCTAGAGCCTAAAGAGGAAGATTTGTGGGATACTAACCAATGGCTATGGCGGCGTTACTCTGTGAACCGACGGAAAAATAATTGTATATGGGCATGACGATTCATGCTCTGCATTTTGTGAAGTTCTCTAATAATGGGGGCCAGCGGTTTCATCGGCGTTGCCCTCTCTTAAAAGGTCTGATGCAGTGACGAGCGAGTGATTTAATAAAATTCTCAACAGAACAGACTATACAGAATTTTGAAAACTCTATGTCACTGAAAAACAATATGGCTAATAATTATTTTTAATACACTTTATTTTCACAGATATCTGTTGTGGGCGCCGGTAGCCCACAGAATACGCCACTGTCCGCAAGTGAAGGTCCGCCATATTGGTGGGCCCGAAACTTGTCTGTCAAACACGGTAATACATGGACATACAATGAACTGATACTTTTTCATTTCACCATTTTCTTACATAAACATTACGTACTCTTATCTGATGTCAAAAGAGCAGGTCCTAAACTTTAGATTTAGAAGCTGGGCTGGTAATACAATTGATGTAACATTGTTCAAAACTTTCGGATTCCAATGTAGAAAACGTCATAAATTATGGTTGTTATCCTTTTGAAGACATCTTCAGTGAATACTTATTCCTCCACAATTTACTTCTTTTTGGTGTGGTAGAAAATCTGCTAAAATGGTTGGAATTACGAATTTTCACAAACGTACGCATCATAAATAAAATCTATCGAAATC